CTCCGCGCACTTACGCAGAGGCGATCTCGGGTCCCTACTCCTCTCAGTGGCAGACAGCCATGGACGCAGAGATGGCATCATGGAAGTCCACAGGCACCTACGTCGACGAGGTTCCCCCTCCTGGGGCGAACATCGTCGATGGCATGTGGATTTTCAGGGTGAAGCGGCCGCCAGGTTCTCCGCCTGTCTTCAAGGCTCGTTACGTTGCTAGAGGCTTCAGTCAGCGTCAGGGGGTCGACTTCTTCCAGACCTTCTCCCCCACCCCGAAGATGACCACTCTTCGGGTTCTGCTGCACGTTGCTGCTCAGCGTGACTACGAGCTTCACTCTCTTGACTTCAGCACAGCGTTCCTGCAGGGCAGCCTGCACGAGGAGATCTGGCTGCGCCGCCCACCTGGCTTTACTGGGTCGTTTCCTCCTGGTACCCAGTGGAGCCTCCGCCGGCCAGTCTACGGTCTCCGCCAGGCGCCACGCGAGTGGCACGACACACTGAGGACTACACTTGCGGCTCTTGGGTTCGCGCCGTCTACTGCTGACCCGTCGCTGTTTCTGCGCACAGACACGTCGCTGCCGCCGTTCTACATTCTCGTGTACGTCGACGACTTGGTCTTTGCTACTGCTGACACTGAGGCACTCGCTTGTGTGAAGTCGGAGCTGCAGAAGAGACACACCTGCACTGACCTGGGTGAGCTGCGTAGCTACCTTGGCTTGCAGATCACCCGGGACAGAGCTCGCCGCACCATCACCCTGACTCAGTCACACATGGTGCAGCAGGTCCTTCAGCGCTTCGGCTTCCAGTTCTCCTCACCACAGGCCACACCTCTGGCTACCAGCCACTCGCTCTCAGCTCCACCTCCGGACGAGTCCGTAGAGCCGAGTGGCCCGTACCCAGAGCTTGTGGGCTGCCTCATGTACCTGATGACTTGCACGCGACCTGACCTCGCGTACCCTCTTAGCATCCTTGCTCGTTACGTTGCACCTGGGAGACACAGGCGAGAGCACTGGGAGGCTGCTAAGAGGGTGCTGCGCTACTTGTGCAGTACATCAGGCATGGGGCTGGTGCTTGGAGGACGCGACAGAGTTGTCCTCACTGGCCACTCGGACGCTTCTTGGGTGGACGACCTGGCTACGCAGCGGTCGTCACAGGGTTACACCTTCAGCCTTGGCTCTGGTTCTGTCTCGTGGCGGTCCACCCGCTCTTCCTCTGTTCTCGGCTCTAGTTGTGAGGCTGAGATCTACGCCACAGCCATGGCTGCACAGGAGTTACGCTGGCTCACCTACCTACTGACTGACTTGGGAGAGCGGCCTAGTTCTCCTCCAGTTCTGTACGGTGACAACAAGGCGGCTCTTGCCTTGTGTCAGGAGCACAGACTGGAGCACAGGACGAAGCACATTGCTCTTCGCTACTTTCTTGCTCGAGAGCTTCAGCAGCGCGGTCAGCTTCGGCTTGTGTACGTGGACTCGAAGGCCAACACTGCTGATATCTTCACCAAGGCGCTCCCGCCTAGTGATCATCAGCGGCACTGTACTTCTTTAGGCCTTGTGTCCACGTTTCCTCACTTGCTTACTGCTTGACATTCTTTGTACTGTACTTTATATATATCTTGTTGCTTGCTTGCTAGGCTTTGATCACTGTGTTGCTTGTCTTGTACTATATCTAGCACTGCATGTGAACTGGCCTTGTGGCCTTTACTTGTGCTCGGAGTGTGGTGACGTTGTGATCCACCCTGGGCTTTGCTTTGCTTTGCTGGACTGGTCTTGTGACCCTTTGTTCTCCCCCACTTTGCCTATGGGGGTGTGTTAAACTGTATTATGCTTGTAGGCTGTAGTGGGGTAGCCAATATGGGGTACAACCCCAACTAGGGTTTCATATTTGTACCCAATCTTCTGCTAGTTCATTCATTCTTGCCTAGTTATTCTGAAATACCCCACTACAGACTAGACAAGCATTATATTCTGACAGGTTGGGTTGCGCTTCAGCCGTCAGATTAGTCTGACCACCAGATCCTCCGGCCATTCTCACACGCGATCGTGTGCCGGACGCCACTTTCCGAATGTCGCAATTTTCGGGAGTGGCAGTGCGAAGGATTCCCGAGCCGCTCTCATACCATGCTACGATCAGAAGTTGATCGTTCCCAGGATCTACTCGGGAAGGTTCGCACAGAGAAATGAAGTTGGTGGGCCCGTGACCTTTATAGCAGAGTGAATGTAAAATGCTTGAGATGGATTAAAACATGCAAATACAAAGATATAAATATGAGTACAGGGAAGACGAAGCGACCTAGCTAGCCATGTACTCTAAGGGGTACATTCCCTTATTCATATTCATTCCCAACCGTGCGGCACGTTCAGTTACGAAACTGTTCCCGCCAAAGCCATCCTGCCTGCAGCTGTCCGATGCCATCTGCTCCGACGGTCTAGATGCGCCTTAACCGTCTGACGCTTCGAGTCAACTCTGACTCTTCGTGTTCACTCTCGATACTGCATGCTTCCTTTGCTGCGGTGAGGAGTGCACAGTAATGAACAATCATTACTATTCGTAACAACCTAAATGGTTTTCTGGCGTCGACTTGCTCATTTAGTCTCCCGCCTGACTCTTCGCCCATATTTTCAGGTTTCTCGTATGATGCATATTGTAAAATGAAAAGAGATGATACTGCAATTGAATAGAATTAGTCATTTTTCAATATAGCAGACATCCCCTTGTGTTGTTCAGTGCGACTCGATGCTTCCTCACGACCCTTCCAAGTTCGAACCTTCGCCAATCATCCCTCCCAACATCACTTGTTCGCTCTTCTCTTGGAATTGCCGTGCTTGTTTGCCCCTGCTTCTCGTGTCTCGAGGCGCACACCAAGGAAGGCCTAGGCGTTGCACATGGGTACACCGCCACCGGTTTTCCTTGTCAGGCGGTAGAAGTCCGTGATTCGCATTGGCACTTCAGCAGTCTAGCTAGAGTCAGGCATGGCAGTGGGGTCTGGTTACCACGCCGAGGCAGGTTTCGCCACGGCTGGCGAAACCAACGAAGTACGTCGTGACTCGATTTGCTATTCGCCGAGCCATATAGAAGCCGGCGACGTCAGATTACTCTGCGAAAGCATCTCCACGTCGCAGGGTGTCGCCGTATCACACCCTGCTAACACGCTTGACCCGATCCCCGCTATTAGTGCTGCTGCTGTTGCGGCGGCGGCGGCGGCGGCGGCGGCGGCGGCTGCGTCATTTGCGGCGTCTCCTAAACAAGCGAATGCCCGATCTAGTATCTGTCACGTCGTGGGTGCTCTAAACCGCCTTCTTTCCAAACCGATCCTCGCGCGATCGCCGTTCGCACATGTACCCGTTACAATACGTCCCGTTAGTAGCACCTCGGCTTTACCCTCCGGTGTTCCTCACAGCGCGCCGAGTTCCGCTCTCGCGATCCTCGCTTCCCGAGCCAGTCAAATCTCCCACGATCCCCTCGTTCGATATAGTCACATCGCATACCGTCAACGCCTCCTGACCGCCTACGGATCTGCGTCTTCCGCATCGACCCTCGCCCAGCTCATCAAATCCAGTCTGCTCCGCCATCCATTCGCGCTGTCCCCGTTAGTAGCCTCACCCGCTAACAGGATCGGTTCGCCTGCCGTCAGATCATCGTTATTGCACTCAGCAGCAACCTCGAGATCATCAGCAGCGGCGGGCAGAGCGGGAGGCGGTTCGGGGTCGTCAGAACGGCCGGATCGGAGATTTAGACTGCATTTACCCAAGCACGGTCCGCACAAGCTGCTTCCGCGTCCCCCAGCGCGCGGGAAGGCGCAACCCGCAGCTTCTTCCCCACCCGCGCCCAGTTCCCGCGGATCTGGCGCGACCCCCCGCTTCTCCGCCCCCAGCGCTGGCCCCAGCGGGTCCGCTGGCCCTCCGAGTTCCGCTCCCCGTTCCGCCCACCGCCCCGCCCCCCGCTCCTCCCCCCGGCCCCCCCCTCACTCCCCAGCCGCTAGACAGCTGGGTGTTGAGCCACGTGCTTTGAGGCCGAAAGCAGTGACTAAGGAAGTGACTACAACGAAAGGAGTGACCACGGGGGCGCTTAAAGAGAAAGCTGAGAAGCCACGAGTTACCACTTCTGGAGCAGTAACAGCAGCCACAGACGCAGGCAGGGCGGCAGGCTCACGAGCTGGGAATGCTGCTGATGGCGTGGCAGAGGCGGCTGATGGCTCACAGGTAGAGAGGGGCTTTGGAGTTGATTCGAATAAGAGAGGTTTGTTTGTTTGTTTGTTTGTTTTGTTTTGCTTTGTTTCTTTAATTCTCAGATATCGATCAGGTGCATGCAGAGGGGAATGTTGAGTTGATGCATATGAGAGAGGGGTCTGATCGCTCGCAGGTGGATAAAGAGCGGGGAGAGGCAGGGAAGGGAGTGTGGATGAAGATGGTAATTGTAGGTAGTTGCGGAAGCGGGGAATGGGGAGGAGAGGCTAGGGGCTGTACTGATCTCACCCGCGTTATGTGTTCTACTTACGACCGAAACGAAAATGCGTCCAGCTATTATGTCAACCTTTCACCCCTCCCTTCTCTCACCTGCGCCTCTCATGCCTCTCCCCTGTCTGCCCGCCTCCCTTCCTGCCTCGCCTCCCTGTCTGCACTCAGACCACCAGTGCACTGCTGGTCCCTCCCTTCACACCTTCCTGCTCCCACCTGCGCCTCTCATGCCTGTTCCTGTCTGAGCCCAGCACAGGCTTTAAGCAGGAGGAGTGGCAGCAGCAGCTCACCTCATCTCACCCCTACACCAACACCGGTCTGTGATTTGGCTGTGCTTTTCTCCGCCCGTCTCTTTGCAAGGCACTCAGATCACCGGTGGCCCCAGCACAGGCTTTACGGAGGGGGAGAGATAACGGAGCAGCACCCCCCATCCCTACCTGTGACCTGCCCTTACCCATGATTTGGCTGTGCTTCCCTCTGCCCCCCTCCCTGCAAAGCATTCAGACCACCGGTGGGCCCAGCACGGGCTTTAAGGAGGAGGAGTGGCAGCAGCAGATGGCGCTGTTTGCTGGCGACAGCAGCCGCAGGGAGATGGTTCTGACGGGCAAGGAGAGCCGGCGCTACGAGCAGGACATTAAGCGGATCGCTGCTCAATTCCGATTGCACAGGTGGGTTCTGGGTTTAAGGCGCTGATTGCTGGCGACAGTGGGAGGAGGGGGATGGTTCTGACGGGCAAGGAGAGCCGACGGTACGAGCAGGACATCAAAAGGATCGCTGCACAATTCCGCCTCCACAGGTGAGGAGGGGTTTCGGGGGGTTAAGGGTTCAGGATTCAAGGAGTGGGAGGGAAGGGGGGGTTAAGGGTTCAGGATTCAAGGAGTGGGAGGGAAGGGGGGGTTAAGGGTTCAGGATTCAAGGAGTGGGAGGGAAGGGGGGGTTAAGGGTTCAGGATTCAAGGAGTGGGAGGGACGGGGGGGTTAAGGGTTCAGGATTCAAGGAGTGGGAGGGAAGGGGCGGGTCGTTCGGGTTCAAAGTAGAGGGAGATGGTTTTGACGGGCAAGGAGAGCCGGTGCTACGATCAGGACATCAAGAGGATTGCTGCCCAGTTCCGCCTGCACAGGTGAGGTCGGGTTTAAGGTTTAAGGTGGCAGCATTTCAGGGTGTGGAGAGGGATTGGTTTTCAGGTTGGAGGTTGAGGGAGATGGTTCTGAAAGGCAAGGAGAGCCGGTGCTACAAGCAGGACATCAAGAGGATCGCAGCTCAATTTCGCCTGCACAGGTGGGGTCTGGGTCTTAAGGGTTCAGTATTTTAGGATTTGGTGGGGGTTAGTGCTCAGGTTTGAAGTGGAGGGAGGTGGCTCTGACGGCTAGGATAGCCAGCAGTATGAAGCCTGGGTTTGGGGTTTTGAAAGTTCAGGATAAGGGTCGGATTTTGGGTTTAAGACTCAGGGTCCTGGAGTGTTGGTGTAGGTTGAGAGGTTGGGAGATGGTGCTGACGGGCAAGGAGGACCGGTGCTGTGAGCAGGAGGGCATCGTGAGAATCGCACCTCATTACTGCATTCGCTGGTGGAGTCTGGGGGTTAGGGTTCAAGTGTCTCGGATACTAGGGCGGCAATGTGGGTTTTAAGCTGCGGGTTCTGGGGTTGGCGCTTAGGATGAGGGGTTTCAAGTTAGGGAGACGGTTCTGACGACGGGCAAAGGGAGTCAGGGAATTAAGAGGATTTCTTTCAGCTCATGCCTAGTCAGCTGTACAAGCAGGGAATCAAGAGGATTGCTGCATATTTTTTTTAGTGCCTCGATAGAGTCGGTTGTACGCGCAGCAAGGACCCTCTGTCTCTTATGAGGTGCCTCACTCTCACTCACACACTCTCCTCCTCCCCCTGTTTCCCCTTCCCCCCTTCCCCCCCATTCCCCAACCCATCTCCCCCCCCCGTCCTTCCTATCAGACGCATGTACAACAAGTCCTTCGTCCTCCTCAGCAAGGGCCCTCGGCTCTCTCAGAACTCTCACTTCTCGTTCACCCACTTTCCACCTCACCCATTTCCCCCTCCCCCCATGCAGTCGCCTGTACAACAAGTCCCTCGTACTCAGCAAGGACCCTCTGCCACACTACCGCCCAGAGCTTGATTCCCGCCGGCCGCAGCGACAGGTGGGTGCAATGCGGTGCAGTGCAGTTAAATGTGGACTGCAGGGAAATGGTATCGGTACTCTATACTAGAACGCAATGTCGTGCGGTGTACACTGTGTTTCAGTGCAGTGTCTTATACTGGAAGAGTGGGCCGGGCGCTGCGGTGCAGTGCGGTGCTTCTCAGTATGTGCCAGTGTCGTGAGTTATGTCTCGGTGAAGTGTGGTTTCTAGGAGTGGCTGGCTGGGTAGTGTAGTTTGCCTCCTCCAATCCCCCCCCACGCTCCCAGACATCTCGCTTCCCTTCACTGATGTTCAGTCGGTCGAGTCTTTCCTCTTTGCTATTCCTACTTGCCTTCTCTCAACTCGTCGCTGGAGCTGAGTTTCGCCCCGGAAGTTCTTGAGGGGATTGACAGAGTGGAGGCGGATGCAAGGGCAGGCGGGTGAAGTGCTCTATTGGTCTCCCTCCTTCTCATCTCACGTGTGGGGCTGATTATTTCCGTGTTGCTTCTCCTCCTTCTCTCCACTCGTCGCTGCAGCTGAGTTTCCCCCCAGAAGTTCTTGAGGCGATAGATAGAGTGGTGGCGAGGTCTTAATCCTTCTCTCGTGCCGAGGCCTGAGTCTTGATTGTTCGCCTCTTCTCCTCCTCTTCTCCTCCCCACTCTCCCGTGCAGCTTAGTTTCCCCCCGGAGGTTCTTGAGGCGATTGACAAAGTGGTGGCAGATGTAAGGGCCAAGCGGGAGAGAGAGGAGAGGTTGAGGGAAGAGAGGGAAAGTGAAGAGAGGGAGAGGGAAGCGAAGGAGAGGGAGGAGAGTAAAGCTGCTTTTGCTGCTGGTAGTGTTGGTGGAGAGAAGCGGGGCTTGTCAGGGCGAGGGCTGACGGGGTTGCAAGGGGAGAAGGGGGAGGAGGAGGGGGGGGGGAGGAGGAGGAGGATGGGGGGGGAGGAAGAAGAGGGGCAGGAAGAAGAGGCGGGGGCGGTTCGTGGTGGAGCGAGGGAGGAAGTGGAGGAGGTGGAGGAGAGGAAGAGATGGCAGTTGTGGAGGATCAGTGAGAGTTTGAAGCGAAGACAGCAACAATGGCAGGTACGGGGGGGGGGGGGGAGGGGTGTGCTCTTTGAAAATTCTCAACAAAGACCCGCCACCAAAAGGAGGAGAGGCGGAGAGGAGGAGGTGGCAGTTGTGGAGGATCAATGAGAGCTTGCGACGACGACAGCAACAATGGGAGGTACCGTGGGGGAGGAAAGGAACGGGAAGAGGGAGGAGAAGGGGAGGAGAAGGTTAGGAGAAGGGGAGGTGAAGGGGAGGTGAAGGGGAGGTGAAGGAGAAAGGGAGGAGAAGGGGAGGTGAAGGGGAGGGCTTATAGCAGGTCACGCTAGTACAATGTATGTTTTTTTATCTGTTGATTGATTGACGTTCAAGTTCCAAAAAGGTACTAATCATTAGTACACCAACCCATCGAGGTGATTTTGAGGCGTTTCAAAACTCACCTCATTAGTGCACCGTCACACATGCACACATAGAGACGCGTGTTTGTTTGTTGTCTTATATGCGTTCATGCATACATAAGTTCTGTCATCATGTGTCAACCCAAAAGGCATCCATGTTGGTTCTCTCCTTGCGTACACTGAATTACATACATGCATGTATGTGCGAGTGCGCACACGCGCTCACACAGACTTTTTAGTCGACTCAAAAGTACACTGAGATACATACATGCATGCATATATGTGCGAGCGCGCACACACGCACATGCGTACCATCACATATGCTGTTTTCTTCCCTGCAGGCATCACCGGAAGGGGCATCCATGCTGACGTTGAGGCAGAGCCTGCCCGCATGGAAGGAGCGAGAGCGGCTGCTGCAGGCCGTGCGAAATAATCAGGTAAGCCTACGAGGCCGCAACGAGGCTGGGCTTAACAGCTCTCGCTGGCGTTGAGGCATAGCCTGCCCGCATGGAAGGAGCGAGAGCGGCTGATACAGGCCGTGCGAAATAACCAGGTAAGCTTGGGTTCAGGTGCAGTCTTGTAGCGAGCTCTGGTCTAACTGCTCTTGCTGGCGTTGAGGCAGAGCCTGGCCGCGTGGAAGGAGCGAGAGCGGCTGATACAGGCCGTGCGAAATAACCAGGTAAGCATGGGTTCAGGTGCAGTCTTGTAACGAGCTCTGGCCTAACTGCTCTTGCTGGCGTTGAGGCAGAGCCTGGCCGCGTGGAAGGAGCGAGAGCGGCTGATACAGGCCGTGCGAAATAACCAGCTAACAACAGGTGTGGGTGGAATCTCGTAGTGAGATCGAGGCTGTGCCTAACAACAGGTGTGTGATCATTTTCACTTGCTGGCGTTGAGACAGAGCCTGGTCATGTAGAAGGAGAGAGGGCAGAGCAGCTTCTACCATACCACCAGGTAATTATGGAACGAATTTTGAGGTGCTTCAATAGTGCTACTACTAGGTAATTATGAACTCGGGTGACATCCTGTGTGCTATAGGCGGTCTAAAACAACCTGGTAGCTGCTCTTCCTGGCGTCTCAAAACATCTTTTTGAAGTTTTGTGTTGCAGGCGGTCCGAAGCAACCAGGCAGTGCGAGGGTGGTTCTATTCTAGGCCAACGTCGTGCCTTGTTCAATTCGTCGCCACCATGTCACGTTGTGTCGTTTCACTGCTGCGGGCGGGGCGGTGGTGGTTGCGGGCGCAACCGGATGCGGCAAGACCACGCAGCTGCACGTATCTGCTGAAAGAGGCAGTGACGGACGGCAAGAGAAGGAGTTGTATGTCTGTCTGTCTGTCTGTCTGTGCACCACACCACACCACACCACACCACACCACACCACACCTCCATGTGTAATCTCGTGCTGCTTCATTCACCCCACCTTGTTCCACTGCAGGTGGTGGTGGTGTCGGGCGAGACGGGGTGTGGCAAGACCACACAGCTACCCCAGAGTACCTGCTAGAAGATGCAGTGGAGTCGGGGCAGGGAGCGCACAGCTCTATCATTTGCTCAACCTTCCCACTCCCCTCCCCTCCCTCCCTTCCCACTGCCATGCCGTGCCATGCCATGCCGTGTGATGCAGGTGGTGGTGGTGTCGGGTGAAACGGGGTGTGGCAAGACCACTCAGCTGCCGCAGTATCTGCTGGAAGATGCAGTGGAGTCGGGGGAGGGAGCACAGAGCTCCATCATTTGCACTCAGCCCCGGCGAATATCGGCAGTGGCGGTGGCAGAGAGGGTGGCTGCTGAACGAGGGGAGAGCATTGGGCAGTCGGTGAGTGGTTTGGTCAACTCAAGTCAACTCAGGTCAATGATACAAGTTGAACTGAGGTAGGGGAAAGAAGAGTGAGCTTTGGATGCCCAGTGGTTGTATCTTGTACGGCAGTGGTAGTCAGCGTCAGTGGTACTCATGTTGAAGATGAGGGAGGGAAGACTTCTGAGGCGACTCAAAAGTCAACCCAGTGGATGTAAGGCAGTGGTAGTCAATGTCAGTGGTACTCATGTTGATAAGATGGGGGGGAGGGTGGGGGGAGGGGAGGAGGGCTGAGGGAGAGATGTTCTTGATTCTGCTGGTTTGCTAAGATGGGGTGGGAAGGGGATTTTCAATAAATGCCACCTGTCTTTTCATTCTCACCCATCTCTGCCCATCCACTGCCACGCACCCTCCCTTGCGCCTGGAGGCACGCAGTAGCAGAGCCACCCGTCTGCTGGGACAACAACTGCTGCCTCTCCCTTTTCGCCCTTCCTCCCCCCCCCCCCCCCCCCCCCACTTGTGAACCAGGTGGGATGCCAAGTGCGCTAAGAGGCCACCCACCTGCTGTTCTGCACCACGGGCGTGCTGCTGAGATGACAGGCTTCCGACCCTCGTCTCTCCTTTCACTGCCTTGCCTTCAACCTCCTTTGTCCGAACCAGGTGGGGTACCAGGTGCGCTTGGAAGCACGCAGAAGCCGGGCCACGCACCTGCTGTTCTGCACCACGGGCGTGCTGCTGAGACGCCTGGCGTCCGACCCTCTGCTGACGGGCGTGACACATATTGTGGTGGACGAGATCCACGAGCGAGGAATGAACGAAGGTGAGTGGGGGGAGGGGAGGAGGGACGGGGATAACTGGGTTATTGTCTGGATGTATTGCTGTGTGACTTGTGGTTGAAGGGTGTAAAGCGACCCTCTGCTGACAGCCGTGACGCCTATTGTGGTCGACAAGATTCACAAGAGGGGCATGAACGAGGGTGAGCGGTTGGGGGGGGGGGGTGGGGGGGAAATAGGGGCGATATGGGGTTACGCGGTTACAGGCTGTCGGATATCTCCTCTTCCTTACCTCATCGCTTGGCTGCTTCCTCCCTTGACTCCTTACCCTTCTTCTTCATATACTTCCCTGCCTGCCTGCAGACCCTGCGTGCTCCTGCCTCAGCCACTACCACGAGAGATCCCTGCTCCCACAAGCTGGCTGCCCTCAGTGGCGTATCACCTAGCTGCTGTAGCCTTAGAACGGTGAATTGAATCCACTAAAGTGAGCAAACAAAGCGAGAGAACAGGTTCAGGGGGCTAGGCTAGGCTACTTTATTCCCACTCTGAGTCTTGGCAATCCATCACCTTGAGTTGGGTTCGGGTCGCCTTGTGTCCTTATTGGTCAATGCAGATTTCCTGTCCCTCGAGGCGCCTTGGCACTCTTCCCAATGTCCCTAACTCCCCATGCCACCAACTTCGCGTCATTCCCCTGGCCCAAGCAATCCCTACACTCGAGCTGCATAACCCCTCCCTACACCCTTCTGCACCTAATCTAGCAAGCAACAGAATATATTGTACTTTACCACTATATTTGGTGACAGCTGTGGTGGCGTTTGGTTGCGGCCTTGAATGTGCTGCTGCTGTGCTGACAGGCATGACCCACATCCACATCGTGATCGTGGTGGTGCATGAGACTGCTTTTGGTACAGTCGACTCAGCTTTTGGTACACGACGCGTAGGTGTGAGTGACCCACATTGTGATCGTGGTGGTGCATGAGATGAGATCCACGAGAGGGGCATGAACGAGAGATCCCTTCTCTTTCCCTCTTCTTCCCCCCCCCCCCCTCCCCCCTTCCAACCCAACCAAACCAGAATTCCTCCTCATTGTCTTGAGAGACCTTCTCCCGCGCCGTCTGGATCTGCAGTTGGTGCTTCCCCCACCCACCTTTCCCTTCCGCCGACTCGTTCCCTTTCCCCGTCACTCCCCCCCAACCAGAATTCCTCCTCATTGTCTTGAGGGACCTGCTCCCCTGCTGTCCCGATCTCAAGCTTGCGTTTCCCTTGGCCCCTCCCCTGCTTCCTCCTCCGTATCGTTGCAGGAGATGAGATGGAGGAGAGAGGGGCATGTAATGAGTCGAGGTTTGAGTCGACTCAAAACTCGACTCGTTTCACGATGAGATGCAGGAGAGAGGGGCATGCCAGGAAGATATTTCGCACTTTCCCTCTCCTCTTCCCCCCCAACCAGACTTCCTCCTCATTGTCTCGCAGACCTGCTTTCCCACCGTTCCGATCTGCAGTTGGTGCTCCCCCCATCTTTTCCCTTCCCATCTTATTTCCCTCTTCCCCCCCAACCAGATTTCCTCCTCATTGTCTTGAGAGACCTACTCCCGCGCCGTCCCGATCTGAAGCTGGTGCTCATGAGCGCCACGCTCAATGCGGACCTCTTCTCGCAGTACTTCAGTGGCGCGCCCACCCTGCACATCCCGGTATGTGCCGATAATGACTGAGAATTGGTATCGTGTCGGTGCTCTCTGCTCAATTGCCTCACTTCCTCGCCCACTTTCTTGTGCCCCTTCAACACTTCTAGGCGTCACAAGAACCCTGATTGCTTTTGAGAAATTTCAAAAGCAAGAACCCTGGTTTGACCCTTCTTGCTCTGTACCGTGTTGTGCTCTTTTCAACTTCTTTCCACAACTGCATCTCCCCTGTTTACTCCTACTTCATTCAAGGTGAACTCAAAAACATCACACCACCACCCCCACCCTGTTATTCCCCTTTCCTTCAACCCCACGACGGCTTACCTCCCCCGTGTGCTCCCACATCTTGGAATGTACACTTGACGCTAAACCCAGAACATAAGCACTTTGTGTCTCCTTTCCAGACTCCACCTTATTCTTTTCCCTCCGTTAAACCATCTCCAGGGCATCACCTACCCTGTGCGTTCCTACCTACTTCTTGACTTATCCAACTAAAAAAACCCACATTCTCCCCTAATCCGTTCGTCCTCCTCCTTCCAAATATATCCAGGGATTCACCTACCCTGTGCGCTCCTACTTCCTGGAAGACGTATTGGAGCTTACAGGTCATGAAGTTACTCTCTATAACCAGGTGACATTGTCAAGTATACCTCTTCCTTCTCCGAATAAACCCTAAACCCGACCCTTCCCCCCTCTTTCATCTGTATCTTATGTGAATTCTTCGGGAAAAAAAAGAGTGTAATGACGATTTTGAGTCACAAATTGTTCCGCTTTTTTTTTTTTTTTTTTTTTTTTTTTTTTTGTCGCCACAAATTTGTTCACCGTTTATTGCTTTGCTGCTACCCGTTGCCGCCTGCCACTGCAACACTGCGCATCAATTCCTACTTCCCATCACCGAGTATCACAGTGGAAGACTAAGGCGCTGTCTGCTTGTCCCCCACCGGATTCCCCCATAGGGTCGTCTTGACTCCTAGTAGTAGAAGGGCAGCAGTACTAGAAGAAAACGCTTTAGCAGTCGGATCAACAGGAGTCAAAAGTATAACAGTGGAAGACTAAGGCGCTGTCTGCTTGTCCCCCACCGGATTCCCCCAAAACGCCACCGCACTGCACCACACCTCCACACACACCCTTCAGGTGGACATCTACGGCAGCGAGCACCAGTGGAAAGCAAGTCAGTGTCTGGTTACCACATGCCGCATTCCGTTCCCCATAACACTTCACCAATACTCCACTCTAAACCGCACTGCACCACTTCAGGTGGACGACTATGGCAGCGAGCAGCAATGGAAGAGGAGGCGACAAATGGCTCTCATAGAGAAGCGGAGAAAGAGCCTGGAACCTTCCTTTGTCCAGGTAACTGTCGTGATCGTGTTGGCCTTGCAGAATCCGTCTTGTGGCACTCGAGAGCAAGACTTGTTTGTGGTACTCGAGAGCAAGACTTGTTTGTGGTACTCGAGAGCAAGACTTGTTTGTGGTACTCGAGAGCAAGACTTGTTTGTGGTACTCGAGAGCAAGACTTGTTTGTGGTACTCGAGAGCAAGACTTGTTTGTGGTACTCGAGAGCAAGACTTGTTTGTGGTACTCGAGAGCAAGACTTGTTTGTGGTACTCGAGAGCAAGACTTGTTTGTGGTACTCGAGAGCAAGACTTGTTTGTGGTACTCGAGAGCAAGACTTGTTTGTGGTACTCGAGAGCAAGACTTGTTTGTGGTACTCGAGAGCAAGACTTGTTTGTGGTACTCGAGAGCAAGACTTGTTTGTGGTACTCGAGAGCAAGACTTGTTTGTGGTACTCGAGAGCAAGACTTGTTTGTGGTACTCGAGAGCAAGACTTGTTTGTGGTACTCGAGAGCAAGACTTGTTTGTGGTGCTCGAGAGCAAGACTTGTTTGTGGTACTCGAGAGCAAGACTTGTTTCTAGTGCTCGAGAGCAAGACTTGTTTGTGGTACTCGAGAGCAAGACTTGTTTGTGGTACTCGAGAGCAAGACTTGTTTGTGGTACTCGAGAGCAAGACTTGTTTGTGGTACTCGAGAGCAAGACTTGTTTGTGGTACTCGAGAGCAAGACTTGTTTGTGGTGCTCGAGAGCAAGACTTGTTTGTGGTACTCGAGAGCAAGACTTGTTTGTGGTACTCGAGAGCAAGACTTGTTTGTGGTACTCGAGAGCAAGACTTGTTTGTGGTACTCGAGAGCAAGACTTGTTTGTGGTACTCGAGAGCAAGACTTGTTTGTGGTACTCGAGAGCAAGACTTGTTTGTGGTGCTCGAGAGCAAGACTTGTTTGTGGTACTCGAGAGCAAGACTTGTTTGTGGTACTCGAGAGCAAGACTTGTTTGTGGTGCTCGAGAGCAAGACTTGTTTGTGGTACTCGAGAGCAAGACTTGTTTGTGGTACTCGAGAGCAAGACTTGTTTGTGGTACTCGAGAGCAAGACTTGTTTGTGGTACTCGAGAGCAAGACTTGTTTGTGGTACTCGAGAGCAAGACTTGTTTGTGGTACTCGAGAGCAAGACTTGTTTGTGGTACTCGAGAGCAAGACTTGTTTGTGGTACTCGAGAGCAAGACTTGTTTGTGGTACTCGAGAGCAAGACTTGTTTGTGGTACTCGAGAGCAAGACTTGTTTGTGGTACTCGAGAGCAAGACTTGTTTGTGGTACTCGAGAGCAAGACTTGTTTGTGGTGCTCGAGAGCAAGACTTGTTTGTGGTACTCGAGAGCAAGACTTGTTTGTGGTGCTCGAGAGCAAGACTTGTTTGTGGTACTCGAGAGCAAGACTTGTTTCTAGTGCTCGAGAGCAAGACTTGTTTGTGGTGCTCGAGAGCAAGACTTGTTTGTGGTACTCGAGAGCAAGACTTGTTTGTGGTACTCGAGAGCAAGACTTGTTTGTGGTACTCGAGAGCAAGACTTGTTTGTGGTACTCGAGAGCAAGACTTGTTTGTGGTACTCGAGAGCAAGACTTGTTTGTGGTACTCGAGAGCAAGACTTGTTTGTGGTGCTCGAGAGCAAGACTTGTTTGTGGTACTCGAGAGCAAGACTTGTTTGTGGTACTCGAGAGCAAGACTTGTTTGTGGTACTCGAGAGCAAGACTTGTTTCTGGTACTCGAGAGCAAGACTTGTTTGTGGTGCTCGAGAGCAAGACTTGTTTGTGGTGCTCGAGAGCAAGACTTGTTTGTGGTACTCGAGAGCAAGACTTGTTTGTGGTGCTCGAGAGCAAGACTTGTTTGTGGTACTCGAGAGCAAGACTTGTTTCTGGTACTCGAGAGCAAGACTTGTTTGTGGTGCTCGAGAGCAAGACTTGTTTGTGGTGCTCGAGAGCAAGACTTGTTTGTGGTACTCGAGAGCAAGACTTGTTTGTGGTACTCGAGAGCAAGACTTGTTTGTGGTACTCGAGAGCAAGACTTGTTTGTGGTACTCGAGAGCAAGACTTGTTTGTGGTACTCGAGAGCAAGACTTGTTTGTGGTACTCGAGAGCAAGACTTGTTTGTGGTACTCGAGAGCAAGACTTGTTTGTGGTACTCGAGAGCAAGACTTGTTTGTGGTACTCGAGAGCAAGACTTGTTTCTGGTACTCGAGAGCAAGACTTGTTTGTGGTGCTCGAGAGCAAGACTTGTTTGTGGTGCTCGAGAGCAAGACTTGTTTGTGGTACTCGAGAGCAAGACTTGTTTGTGGTGCTCGAGAGCAAGACTTGTTTGTGGTGCTCGAGAGCAAGACTTGTTTGTGGTGCTCGAGAGCAAGACTTGTTTGTGGTACTCGAGAGCAAGACTTGTTTGTGGTACTCGAGAGCAAGACTTGTTTGTGGTGCTCGAGAGCAAGACTTGTTTGTGGTACTCGAGAGCAAGACTTGTTTGTGGTGCTCGAGAGCAAGACTTGTTTGTGGTGCTCGAGAGCAAGACTTGTTTGTGGTGCTCGAGAGCAAGACTTGTTTGTGGTGCTCGAGAGCAAGACTTGTTTGTGGTACTCGAGAGCAAGACTTGTTTGTGGTACTCGAGAGCAAGACTTGTTTGTGGTACTCGAGAGCAAGACTTGTTTGTGGTGCTCGAGAGCAAGACTTGTTTGTGGTGCTCGAGAGCAAGACTTGTTTGTGGTGCTCGAGAGCAAGACTTGTTTGTGGTACTCGAGAGCAAGACTTGTTTGTGGTACTCGAGAGCAAGACTTGTTTGTGGTACTCGAGAGCAAGACTTGTTTGTGGTACTCGAGAGCAAGACTTGTTTGTGGTACTCGAGAGCAAGACTTGTTTGTGGTACTCGAGAGCAAGACTTGTTTGTGGTGCTCGAGAGCAAGACTTGTTTGTGGTACTCGAGAGCAAGACTTGTTTGTGGTACTCGAGAGCAAGACTTGTTTGTGGTACTCGAGAGCAAGACTTGTTTGTGGTACTCGAGAGCAAGACTTGTTTGTGGTACTCGAGAGCAAGACTTGTTTGTGGTACTCGAGAGCAAGACTTGTTTGTGGTACTCGAGAGCAAGACTTGTTTGTGGTACTCGAGAGCAAGACTTGTTTGTGGTACTCGAGAGCAAGACTTGTTTGTGGTACTCGAGAGCAAGACTTGTTTGTGGTACTCGAGAGCAAGACTTGTTTGTGGTACTCGAGAGCAAGACTTGTTTGTGGTACTCGAGAGCAAGACTTGTTTGTGGTACTCGAGAGCAAGACTTGTTTGTGGTACTCGAGAGCAAGACTTGTTTGTGGTACTCGAGAGCAAGACTTGTTTGTGGTACTCGAGAGCAAGACTTGTTTGTGGTACTCGAGAGCAAGACTTGTTTGTGGTACTCGAGAGCAAGACTTGTTTGTGGTACTCGAGAGCAAGACTTGTTTGTGGTACTCGAGAGCAAGACTTGTTTGTGGTACTCGAGAGCAAGACTTGTTTCTGGTACTCGAGAGCAAGACTTGTTTGTGGTGCTCGAGAGCAAGACTTGTTTGTGGTGCTCGAGAGCAAGACTTGTTTGTGGTGCTCGAGAGCAAGACTTGTTTGTGGTGCTCGAGAGCAAGACTTGTTTGTGGTGCTCGAGAGCAAGACTTGTTTGTGGTGCTCGAGAGCAAGACTTGTTTGTGGTGCTCGAGAGCAAGACTTGTTTGTGGTGCTCGAGAGCAAGACTTGTTTGTGGTACTCGAGAGCAAGACTTGTTTGTGGTACTCGAGAGCAAGACTTGTTTGTGGTACTCGAGAGCAAGACTTGTTTGTGGTACTCGAGAGCAAGACTTGTTTGTGGTACTCGAGAGCAAGACTTGTTTGTGGTACTCGAGAGCAAGACTTGTTTGTGGTACTCGAGAGCAAGACTTGTTTGTGGTACTCGAGAGCAAGACTTGTTTGTGGTACTCGAGAGCAAGACTTGTTTGTGGTGCTCGAGAGCAAGACTTGTTTGTGGTACTCGAGAGCAAGACTTGTTTGTGGTACTCGAGAGCAAGACTTGTTTGTGGTACTCGAGAGCAAGACTTGTTTGTGGTACTCGAGAGCAAGACTTGTTTGTGGTACTCGAGAGCAAGACTTGTTTGTGGTACTCGAGAGCAAGACTTGTTTGTGGTACTCGAGAGCAAGACTTGTTTGTGGTACTCGAGAGCAAGACTTGTTTGTGGTACTCGAGAGCAAGACTTGTTTGTGGTACTCGAGAGCAAGACTTGTTTGTGGTACTCGAGAGCAAGACTTGTTTGTGGTACTCGAGAGCAAGACTTGTTTGTGGTACTCGAGAGCAAGA